ACACACCCGGCCGCTGTGTGAGGGGGAGGAGTTACTGTCAGAGACCGGAGGCATCTCAGGAGGAGGTAAATGATAGGCGGTATTCCCATTACCACATGGGAATGCAGCCACAACGAGATGCGTCCGCCGGGTCCCAGTCTGCTCCTGTGCATAAACGGACCCGGTGGGTGCCTGCAGACCGGGTAAGTATTTGACGGCATTCCCCTTAATGTGTGGGAATGCCGCAGCAACGATGCGTGCGCGCCGGGACCCATACCGCTCTCTGTAACACCCCACACGACCACCTTGAGTCCACAATAGATTGAATCTCATACTCATCACGGCCATCAACAGAAGAAGTAGAAGGACGAAACGTGCGTTTGGTGTAATGATTACACAACAAAGGCTTGAGCAAGGACACATGAAAAACATTAGGAATACGCAAGGCCGGAGGTAGCGCTAACGCATATGATACATGGTTGATTTTCCTAGAGATTACATATGGGCCAATGAATCTGGGAGCCAACTTCATAGTCGGCACATTTAATCTGATGTTTCGAGTGGAAAGCCAGACCTTGTCCCCAACAACAAAACTAGGTGCCATAGAACTGCATTTGTCTGCATGTGTTTTATGACGAGATGAAGCCGAAGACAATGCACGCTGTACAAGCTTCCACCTGTCTCGAAGATCATGAAGGTGTTGATCAAGAACCGGTAATCCAGTTTCATGAAACTGAAAAGGGATAACAAGGGCATGTCTACCATATGTAATGAAGAAAGGGCTATGCTGTGAGGAGTCGTGTGTAGTATTATTACATGTGAATTCAGCACAGGAAAGAAGATCATACCAGTTGTCATGGTTATGTTATATAAAACATCTCAAGAAGCCCTCTATAGATTGATTAACCTTTTCTGTAGCCCCCGTTGGTCTGGGGGTGATATGATGAAGAAGAGGGATTTCAGTTGATCAAAGGAAAAAAGGGCTGCAAGAGGCCAGACATGGGTTTCAGCACCTTTACGTGTGAGACTAGTAATGGGAGAAATGACCAAGGAGAATCCCTTTATAAACCCGCGGTAGTAGTTAGCGAATCCGACGAACCTTTGAATGGCTTTAAGACCTTTACGTCTGGGCCATTGCAAGACCGCCTCTAGTTTTTTGGGATCCATTTCAAAACCTTTGGCTGAGATAATGTAGCCTAAGAATTGTACCTCTGTCTGAAGAAATAAACATTTTTCCAATTTACAATATAAGCCATTGTGTAACAGCATAGTGAGTACCTGTTATGTTACTAGGGTGATTTGGATTGGAACTCAACTGCAGCTTGTAAAACTCCCTAATTACAATTGTGAAGAAACAGAGAATCTTTAAAGTATCAATACTGTAGCTTTAAGAAAAGAGGGAATCGCTGGTAACTTGATTCAAACGAAGTTTTAATGATAGTTAAACTTAAATGAATTGCATTTAGGCAATAATCCAATAAGAAGAGGTGCAAGTAATCAACAACATAAAGTTCATTAATAAGTATTTCCTCAGAGATGCATTAAGTAACATTCTTTAGGTTAATGAGAATAATCTTCAATAATATCTTTAAGCAAGTAGCTGAGAATATTTGCAAAGCAGGATAAGTTCATAGTTAATAAGCATGATGGGAGTTGTCCTCCATATAATTAGTAGCTTGAAGCACTGAGTGTATTTGCAAAGCAAGAAACAGTTCATAGTGAATAAGCATGAAGTCCGGAGTCAAGAATTTTCTCTATTTCATATTCCAATTCTCCTTGTACTTCAATGGGGTCAGGCTTCAACAATTGTTCCCTATGGAAGGGATCTGGGAGAAAAGACTTTAGGAGTGAAACATAAAAAACAGGATGCAGTTTAAGTGAAGGAGGAAGTTTCAATTTCACAGCATTTTCATTAATAATGGATTCAATTTGAAAAAGTCCAATGAAAAGAGGACTTAGTTTCTTAGAAGGGCGGTTAGTAGAAATATTTTTTGAAGACAACCAAACAGTGTCACCAATTTTATATTTAGGAGGAGTTCTCCTTTTAATATCATAATTCCTTTTATGTAAGGTCATAGAACTTTCAAGGTTTTTCTTTAATTGCTTGAACAATGAAGACATTTCCATATTTTGAGAAGAAATCAATGGATTAGAAGTTGTCTTGGGATCTTCAGGGAACAAGGAGGGATGGAATCCATAATTTGAAAATAATGGAGTCATTTTGCTGCTTGAATGTATGGAGTTATTATAGGCAAATTCAGCCATGGGTAACCAATTACTCCAGTCATCTTGTAAATACGTACAGTAACAACAAAGGTATTGTTCCAGACATTGATTGACTCGTTCTGTTTGACCATTTGTTTGGGGATGGTATGCTGAAGAGAGTTTACGTTGGATTTTAAGTGAAGTACACATTTCCTTCCAAAAACGTGAAGTAAATTGAGAACCTCTGTCTGAGATTATTTTTTTCAGGAAATCCAGAAATCCATGTAATTTGATTATATTGTCAATGAAAACTTTGGAAAGTTCAGAGAATGAGGGTAACTTTTTCATAGGAATGAAATGTGACATTTTTGTAAAACGGTCTACGACAACAAGGATGGTGGTGTATTTCTGAGAAGGAGGGAGTTCTACCATAAAGTCCATGGAAATAGACTGCCAAGGTCTCTCAGGTACTGGTAATCCAGTCAATAATCCATAAGGAAGGTGATGTTCCGATTTGGACCTTTGACAAACTTCCATCTTATTTTTCTGGAAGATAAAGTTTTATTTGAATAAAGGTATTCAAGATTCCTGTGGTCAGTGTAAACAATGATAGGAATTTCATTTCCTTCTAGAAGATAACGCCAATTCTCAAACGCTACTTTAATGCCTAACAATTCTTTTTCTCCAATAGGATAGTTCTTTTCTGCTGAGGTTAAGGATCTTGAGAGAAAAGCGAAAGGATGGAGAGCATCATGAAGTGTCTTTTGTTGAGAAAGAACTGCACCAATAGCATTTTCAGATGCATCTACTTCTAGAATATTAGGATATGAAGGATTTGGAAGGTGTAGAACAGGAGCAGTTGTAAATCTGTTTTTTAATTCATCAAAAGCTTCTTGTGCATAGTTATTCCACCTAAAGGGATGTTTGTTTCCAGTAAGGGCATGAAGAGGCTGGGCTATTTCAGAGAAATTCTTGATAAACTTCCTATAAGAATTTGCAAAACCAAGAAATCTCTGGACATCTTTGATAGAGGAAGGTGTAGGCCAGTCAAGAATACATTTTATTTTAGAATCATCCATTCTTATTGTATGAGGCAAAATAATATAGCCAAGAAAACCGACGGAAGTGGCACATAATCTCCATCTGACACCCAGACCGCAACGCCGCAGAGGGGGCCCTGCGGGACTGGAGGAGTAACCAACGGAGCTCTTGCCCGACCGGGAGGGGTTCATGCTCCCCAGGACCTACCCCACGCAGAGCCGCTATGGGACCCGGCACGGTAGAGGGCAGTTCAGTACACAGGTACCCTCGGGGATCTAGTAGGTTGGGTGGGGGGACCGGGGGGATTAGTGTAGGCCCACTGGTGGCAAGGTGGCTCACACGAGGGGGACTTGCAGTGGGGTGCAGAGAGGTGGGGAGGGGGGAAGGGGCCACGGACGGAGAGCTGACGCCCGATGGGAGCTGGGGAGAGGCCGCTGGACTTGAGCCTGTACGTTTGGGTTGCCGGGGGACTACGCAGCTATTGAATGCTCAGGGGTCTGGGGCAGGTGTTTCGCCATCCTCATAGCGTGCTGGGGGCAGTGGGGGGCTGGGGGAGGGGGAATGCAGGATACACCGGTTGGGAGATACGTTAGCGTGTACATAGTTTGTTAACTGCATGGCCTAATTGTTTTGTGACCTGTTCTGGGGATCCCTCTAGGCATTGCTTCTAGAGGATTTGTGGTGAGGGCGGTACACCGGGGGCGGTCACTGCCTACCCCACGGGCTGAGAGAGCCGGGGAGGAGCGGAGGCTTACCAGCTGCGGGCAGGCCTCACCTTGGCCTGCAGCGACTGAGCTAGACGGGGCACGCCTGGCGAAGGGCCGGAGTGGGCGCTCGGCATGCCGTGTCAGATTCCCTGCTGCCATGAAAGCCCCCTGCCCAACAATAACCCAGCATAGGCGCCATCTGGCGGTAACGGCAGGGTGAGACACATGACCCCTAGACCGGGGAGGAGGGAAGATGGCGGGGGGCAGAGCTCCTACATTCTTGGCTCACCCTCATCATAGATAAGTCAGGAGAAGGGGGTCCTGGGGCCATGGAGGCTCCTTGGGAGCGGGGGGCATCGGGAGTGGGAGGGTAAGGTACAGTTTGCCACGGAGGCCCGTGAGGGCCGGGTTAGAGGGGGTGGGGAGCGGGGAGTCAGGTGACGGTTAGGTGAGAGTGGGGGGATCCTGACGGACAGTAGCCAGGCTGAACTATGCTGATCAGGGGTGACCTTGGGTTCCTAGAGAGCAGGGCTGCTGCCCATACGATGGCAGGTCGCCCCCGGAGCAGACACGGGAGTATAGCATACCCGGCAGGTTGGGTGCTGCAGGAGAGGGAGGTAGACACGACACAGACTACTGAGACAGTTCCACACACACGGAGGCACTACAGACCCCCACTGTGACGGACCCATAGTGTACATAGTACCGGGGCGCTCAGGGACGGACGGGAAGTTCCACACCTGACTGACAGATACCGGTATAGGGTCACAGTCACACCACTACTCAGACAATCTGACACCCTACACGCCTGACGGGCAGTAGGTACTCTACTCCTTGGGAAGGTTGGGGGGGTGTTTTTTTTTCTCTCTTGCTACTTTCCTCTCGGCCTCTTCCCCGTGGGTCGCGCTAGCACCGTGGCGGGCCAAGGTCCCCCCTCCGGGGCGAGAAGGGCCGGTTCGGGATTTACCCCAGCTCGGCTGACGTACTGGTCCCTAAATGTCAGAGGCCTAAACATCCCGGAAAAACGTTCCTTGCGCATGCGGAAGGCTTTGGGCCACGTGAGCGTCCATGGTGTTCCTGCAGGAGACGCATTTCCATCAAGGGGATGCCCCAAAGCTGGGAAACAAACGTTACCCATTAGGGTATTATGCTAACCACCCTGAGGCCAAAAAAGCGGGAGAGGCGATACTGTTTGCGAGTACGACACAGTTTCAATGCACGGCGATGCAAGCAGACCCCCAAGGGCTATAATTATTTCTCAAAGGTAACGTTGCGGACTTTACATACACCTTCACTTGCTTATACGGCCCCAACAGACGGCAACATACTTTCATCGGACAAACCCTAGCCAAACTGGGGAGATTTCGGGAGGGATTGCTGGTGGTGGCGGGAGACTTAAACCTTCCGCTGGACCCCCGCCTGGACTCGTCCAGGGGTGTCAGTATGATCCCCACACACTGCCTACGGGCAACGCTACGCTAACTGCACAAATTAGGCCTGGTGGACTGCTGGAGGGCGAGTCATCCCGACGACAGGGATTACACTTACTACTCGACCGCCCATGCTCACTACAGCCGAATAGACTACATATTTCTCGCACAAGAGTACTTGGCGGTGTTGCGGGGTTCAGAGATAGGGAGCATAGAACAGTCTGACCACGCACCAATGATTGCCCCCCTATTCAAACCCACGGAAAGGCAATGGAGGTTAAATGAGACCCTCCTGGATGACCCTGTCCTGGTTACCGAGATGTCTCAAGTTTTGACGGACTACTTCACCACCAATAGCTCGCCAGAGATGGCACCAGTGACGCTCTGGGAGGCACATAAGTGTGTCATCCGGGGATGCCTCATAGCCGTTACCACTCAACGCAAGAAGGAACGCACGGCACGCCTGGTTCAGTTGTCCAGTCGTGTGGCGGAACTGGAACAAGTCCACAAACGCACGTTGGATGACGAGACCTACTGCCTCCTGACGGAGATGCGTAGGGAGCTCCGCGCTATACTAGCCCAGGGCCTGCTCCATACTGCGCGTAAAACTGCTAGGTTCTTCTACGAGCATTCCAACAAGTGCGGCAAACTGCTCGTGAAAATGCTACAGGAAAAGCACAGGGCGCAACATACACACAAGATTCGCACGCAGGGGCAAACAGTCACTCACCTCCCAGACGGCATCCTGAGTGCATTTCACAAATACTATGAGACCTTGTACGATCAAGCCGGAACCCGATCTGAATCCTAAAAAAGACATCACCGGGAACGGGTCACTGCTTACCTGGGCAGTCATGTTGCCCGCAAACTGACTCCGGAGCAGGAAGACGAACTGGACCAACCCCTGACACTGGAGGAGCTAGCGGGGGCGCTGAAAGCGGCGAAGCCCAACAGGGCTCCAGGCCCAGATGGCCTTCCGGTGAGGTACCTCCGCGAGTTTAAGGAAGTCCTTCTGCCGAGGCTCCTGGAGGGGTGCAACTCGTTGCGTACAGGAGGCCGGTTCCCGGCAGACACCATAAGGGCAACTGTTGCATTCATCCCGAAAGAGGGCAAAGATCCCACAATTTGCACGAGTTACAGGCCTATATCGCTATTGAATGCGGATCTGAAGGTATTCGCCAAGGCCCTGGCGCTACGGGTTGCCCGGGTGGCGCCCGACCTCATACACCCCGACCAGGTTGGATTTATCCCGGGAATGGAGGCCTGGGATAATACGATCCGAGCCCTAAATGGCGGGAGTTGGTGCTCTTGTCTACAGACGCCGAAAAGGCGTTCGACCGTGTGGACTGGACATTTCTTCTGGAATCGATGCGGCACATGGGGTTCAGACAACACCTCCGCACCTGGTTGGCGGCCCTATACACTGCACCGACGGCGCGAATCAGGGTCAACGGCGCACTCACCGAACCGTTTACAATCCGCAATGGCACAAGGCAAGGCTGCCCCCTATCCCCCCTTCTGTTTGCCCTCACTCTTGAACCATTTCTGGAGGCAGTCAGACGGGACGGGGGTATTACGGGGTTCCGCATAGGTCGGGGAGAACATAGAGTAGCGGCCTATGCGGACGACATGCTCTTTTTTTCTGGAGCAAACACGGGTATCAATACCGAACTTGTTGAAAGCGTTCAGGGAATATGCCGTAGTTTCCAACCTTGCACTTAACCTGGACAAGTCAGAGGCTATGCCGCTGGCCTCGGGTGACGTCATGTCGGGGCATCTCCGCATGCATTTCCCATTCAGGGTATGTCAGACAAAGCTCAGGTATCTGGGAATATGGTTGCCAAATGAGCTCAAGGACATATATCCTCTCAACTTTATACCTCTCCTCACGACCTTCCAGGGGGACCTGAAAAAGTGGACATCTCAGTACATCTCATGGTTTGGGCAGATTAATGCCATAAAGATGAACGTTATGCCAAGAATCTTATACTTGCTCCAGACGCTGCCTACGAATATCCCGCGGTTATTTTTTCAATCCTTAACAACCACCATACGGAAATCTGTTTGGAACCAGGGACCGGCACGTATTCGCAGGACGATCTTGGAGCGACCGAAACACGCGGGAGGAACAGGACTTCCGTCGGTGCTCTCCTACTATCAGACGACTCACCTCTGACATGGAGATGCAGCAAGCACAAGGACGGATCCCCTCCCTGCTGTGGCTGGATGGCACTGTTCTGGGAGACATCCACACAGGAAACCTGATGATCGATTCCACACTGCGAGTATGGTGTAGGATCAGATACGCCAAACAACTCACCACGGCACCAAACCCGCTTATTCCTATAAATAACAACCCACGACTAGCGGGAGGACTTAATTCCGCAGATTTAACGAACTTCGCGGCGTCGGACTGGACCTACATGCGGCACTGGTGCACAGACGCAACACTTAAACCACTAAAGGATCTGATACCAGAACACACCAAGACAAGATTGGATGAATTCCGCTATCACCAACTGCGCAGGTACTACACCTCCTTACCGGGGAAAGGCCACATCCACCGACTGCTGCTACCTTTGGAACAGGCATGCGCGGACAGGCAACACCTCAAGCACGGGGTATCCACGTTATACGCCATGCTCCAGCAGCAGGAGGGCAAGATCCCCCTGGGATTCACTGAACGCTGGGAGCAGGAGACGGGTATGACACTCACGGACAGCGAATGGGACAAGATCTTTCAACTGACGCACAAAGGGAGCATATGCTCCAAGTATCAGGAATGTAATTACAAAATTTAAACCGGCTGGCACAGGACCCCAGATATCTTACGCCATGTCCATGAGTCAATACCTGGGGAGTGCTGGAGATGTGGCAAAGAACCGGGCTTGAGGCTTCATGTCTGGTGGTCATGTCTGCTTATAGAGCCATTCTGGCGGCAGATACACCAAACAATCAGGGACATCGCGGACGCAGACCTCCCGTTGAAACCACTGCCGATGTTGCTTAATCACACGCAAACACCGCTGCAGAGCTACAAAAGGGGCCTGACCATACACTTGCTCACTGCTGCGAAAACTTTAATACCGACATATTGGAAAAGCCGTACAGTGCCTACCTTCTAACAATAGGTCGACAGGGTGGAAAATATTTATAACCTGGAGATGTTGACGGCCTCCCTGCAGGGGCGCACGGAAAAATGCGCCACGACCTGGTTTCCGTGGATGGAATACATGGCTAAGAGGGCGAGGCGGAGTGGCGCGCAGGAAGGGGGGGGAGACGGAGCTGTCGCGGTGCGGCCGTCCTTGCCGACCTCTAGAGGAGTCGAAGACCCACGGGAATCGGCTGCTTCTTCCTCCTGTCCCGGTTCCTTCTCCCCTCCACCACGGGACGGGAGTTAAGCGCCATTACATATGATAGCCGGACAGCAACGGGGGACATGCTGTGAGTCCTAGGATAGGGGCTGCAGGAACTAGGGTACACAAGACATATGCTTAACACAGACCCACTGTTAGCCATAGGTGGGTGGACAGCTAAAACTTGCAAAACCAGAGGGACCACAGGAAACTTATCCCGGGGAGGGGAAAGGGAGGGGGGGCGGGGAGATCGGGGAGGCCAGGGAGGCCCAAGCCATACGCTCTAGGAAGCAGGGAAGTGTGGTTCTAGGACACAGGGGCATGGGGACAGGGAGCAACAACACAGACGAAGACTGGGGGAGACTCGACGGCGGGGAGGGGAATGGGGGGAGGAGAAGGGGGTGAACAAGCCTTAGACGATACAACCCACTTTCAGAAGCCACGAGCACACACGAGGGAGGGGAAAGGGTAGCAATCAATGCGGGATGCCCGCCTCGCACACCTTATAACTCATCTGCCGCGGCAGCGAGGCCACTTGGCGTAGAGTCCGCATTAACCTTTTGCCAGCAAGGGCGCACCCCACAGGTCCTGACGAGCAGGGCTTGGGCGGATATGTCTCAGGGTCTCAGAAACATTAGCCATCGTGATCCATACATGAGTCTAGGTAGAACTCGCACAAAAGCTCATATAGTAGACCTGTCACTACACACTGCAAAACGTCTGTATTTTTTTTTTTTATTTATTTTTTTTTTATTTTATTTTATTTATTTTTTTTTTATTTTTTTTTTATTCTTTATTTTTGTAGTGCATATGATATAACAGCGTGCATGGGGTACCCCAACGGCATTCCTCATGCGTTTCATACATTTATAACAGTAAGGGGTATGTTCTTGCGTGCACAATTTTATGTTAAATATACAGTTTAGTAAGCTTATTCTCTATGTATTATCTATGATATATAATGCCACGACAAACATTCATAGACCAGATAGATGGGTATAACAGGAATATGACTGCTTAGGTATGAACCATACGTTAAGGTACATGCTAGTTAAGTCACTGCTGTGGTTGCTTATTTAGTTGCTGTTCGGTGATATGTCATTTGTTAAGCTTAAAATATTAGTTGTCTAGTGGCATTCTGAGGAGATAGGAGTAGTTTTGTAGACTCCTGGGGTCGAGCTAACTGCTCCGAGGATATTTAGTTAAGCAGTTGCTGTGATTTTGCGCTAGTGGGGATGCCTTAGAGTCTGCCTCTGGATTAACGTTTCACAAAATGATAATTAAGATAACGCTTAATAACAATGCAAACGAAATGATAAGTAAAATAACGCCATGGGGGCCAGTGGGCATAGAGACTATTAAATACGGATCATGAGTATTAACCACACATGCTATTGAATATTTGCACATAACATTACAGTCTCGTAGCTGGTCTGCTGTGGCGTGCTACTTGGGATTTACCCCTCGCGGATCAGTCTCAGGGACAGACTCAGCCTATGCCAGCAGGGGACATGACACAGTCTCTGAGTGCAGGGGCCCACTGCCTGACATCGCCTATGCTCCGGTAGGTTGGGGTTCGTGACTTGCGTGTCGCACTGTTCAGCTTTTTAGGTCGTGGTTGTGGTCCTGCTTGAGTCCGCTTGGGTGATGTCTTCGGCGCCATTTTGAGGCTCGGCACTGATCTTCTTAGGTGCTTAGGTGGAGAGCTTTTGGGTAAGTAGGCTTCTTTGTGTGGTAGAGAGGGCTGGAGCAAAAGGCGTGTTAATTTCTGCCAGAAGTCGGAGAAATGTCCCTCTATTTTGGAGAGGATGTCGCTGTGTGCTTTGTCGGCAATAGGGATCCCATGTGGACAGTGCTGTATCTCGCTTGCGGGATCTGCTCCCCACTGCATCTTGAGGGTAAATCGTTTTTTGGGTGTCAGTTGTAATGTGCACTCTGGCCTGCTGTGCCTCCGACCCTTCCTTCCGCCTCGGGCCTGCCACTGTTTTGGAGCCGCGGTCTTGCGTTGCGCCTGGAGGGGTAGGCATCTTGTCTTGATGTCGCAGTGAGTGCTTGTTGTTTGTGGTGGCGGGCATCGGGCTATCTTGTGCCCGAATGCCGCCTTGCTTGCTGCAGGTTCGAGGTGAGGGCTTTCTTTCCCTCTGGCTTTGGTTCTCCTGGCGTCCGCCATTTTGATTGATGCGCCTGGGCCACATCGCAGGTTGGTAATGTCGCTAGGCTCGGGTTTTGTCTCCGCATTCTGAGCCCCAGGGTGTGGACCGGGATCACCCCCACCGGTCCAGAGGGGGGGGAACAGGGTCCGGTCCGCTTGGGTTCGGGCCTCTGGTAGGGTTCCGGTTGGCAGGATAGTGGAGCAGCGGCCGTCCACCCCACTCACTGCCGGAGTAGGCCCCAGTTGGGATACCGATGACCTCTCCTCCAGGGGACTGTAGCTCGAGGAGCCAGCCTCACCCTGGTTTCGGATACTCCTGTGCATTGAGGATTGTTGCTGGAGGTCGTGTTTGAAGCGAAAAAATCTTGGTTTTAAGGCTTTAGATTTGGAAACTTGCAGGAGCTGAGTATGCATGCGACCATCCAGCTCAGCGGTTCGGCCCCGCCCCCATTTTATTTTTTTTTTAAATTTATTTATTTATATTTTGTATTCATATTTTTTAATTTTTATATTTACATAATTTTTATATTTGCTATTCATATAATTATCATCCCATGTGCCTTTCTTCTTTTTTCTTACCATTATTTTATTATATTTATTCATCTTTTAACCTCAAAAAGGTTCTCTTATATTATGTGGTATTTGATTTCTTCTTTCCTACAACATTAATAACCATTAATGCTTAAATGCTTCCCTTTATTTATCTTTATGATAATTCTTTTTATTTGCATTAATTCTCTCTGTATGAGATTATGTTTTCCCGTTTTCGGCTGTGGAACGCATGTTTGCGTTCCACGCAATACCGGATGTTGTTTCTACGCAAGACCGGAAGTTGCCCGAAATGAAAATGAAAACGAGGTTTGGAACGCACTAAATGAACGCAGGTGATATATCCCGATTGATCATGCAGAAGGCGGGAACTCACGGCTTTTTAAACGACGGACTGGACAGACTGTTACATGCACCTTCACTAGCCCCTGAGGAAGTCTCGTTTGGAGACGAAACGCGTAGGGTGGAGGGACCACGACAGCACCTTGTTATTGCTACTGTTGATTTTTTATTTATATGTTTTTATTTGGTTTTTAATTTGGTTTGTCCTGTTACTACTTGCTAAGGGAAAAAGGACGCCGGCACCATTATTCCCCAAGTATTTTGACAAGCTGGATTACAACTATTATCTTGTGAGTGCAATCAAATAAATGTTATCATTTTTATTATACTGGTGCACTATGGTTTGTGTGTCTCTCCCTCTCTAAGGTGAATTAGAAGATTACAGCTGTCCGTCAAGTCTAAAGACCGTTATATGCCCTTACCACTCTCTCATCTTGTGAGTGCAATTTCACTAGTGCTAAATTTGGTGTTCGAATTTACTACACTATATATTCTTTATTTCTATTCTTTTTGTAGATTGTATTTTTTTGTACTACACACTGCAAACTTGAAGCCAGCTGGGGGGGAGGAGGGGGGAGGAAGGGTGGAGGGAGGTGAGATGGAGGGTAGGCTGAGACATCATAGCAGGGTAAATGCGGTGTGCAACTTACTTGTTACTGATTGTCAGGGGTATACTTTTTGTATTATGTTATGTTTTGTACCAAATACCTTCAATTCTAATAAAAATGAGATTGTCAAATATAGCCAAGAAAACTGAGTTCTTTAACTTCAAATAAACATTTTTCTGGTTTAGCATATAGTTTGTGAATTCTTAATTGGGATAATACCGAGCGTACATGTTTCCTATGATCTTTAAGGTTATCGGAATAAATTAATATATCATCTAGATAGATAATGACACAAGTGTCCAAGAGGTCTCTGAAAATATCATTAATAAAATGTTGTAAAGTAGCAGGGGCATTACAGAGTCCAAATGGCATAACCAAATATTCAAACAGGCCATATCTAGTACGGAAAGCTGTCTTCCATTCATCTTCCTTTTTGATCCTAATTAGGTTATAAGCTCCTCGGAGATCAAGTTTAGTAAAAATAGTTGCCGTGCGTAATCTTTCAATTAGTTCAGAAATCAAAGGTAGAGGGTAGCGTTTTTTTACTGTGATTTTATTTAAAGCACGGTAATCAATAATGGGACGTATTGTTTGATCTTTGTTTCTTACAAAAAAGATCCCGGAGGCAGCTGGAGAAGTAGAAGGACGTATGAATCCTTTACGGAGATTTTCATCAAGGTACTCTTTAAGAATTCCCAATTCTTTTTCAGAAAGTGGATATATGTGACCATAGGGAATAGGAGCACCAGGAATAAGATCAATAGGACAATCATAAATTCCATGAGGAGGAAGAGTTTCAGCTTCTTTTTTACTAAATACGTCAGAATAATCCGAATATTGTTCTGGTATTAAGGTTTCTTGACTTAATTGAAGTATAGGAATCTGTGGGAGACTATTGTCCTTACAATACTTTCTGAATGGTTGTTATTGACAATGGTCCTAATAGGAATAGTCTCATTTTTTATAGGACCAGATGGGATTAAAGATCCATCAATAACTCTGATGGAGATAAAAGATGCTTTTTTCACATAAGGAATTTTATTGGTTTCAACAAACGAAGAATCTATGACTATCCCTGTAGCTCCAGAATCAATAATAGCTTCAATCTTGATTCTTTCTTTGTCCCACTGTAAAATTAAAGGTACAGCAAACTGATGAGAGCAGGAAAAGGGAAGTGTTTTCAGAATTGAGGTATTAATTTTAAGCTTTCCTCCCTTAGCGCGTTTTAGTAGAGGACATTCTTGTAAAAGATGTTCCTTAGAAGCACAGTACATACAGAGATTTAAATTTCTTCTTGTTTTTTCTTCTATAGACATAGGTCCCCTAATAAACCCAACTTCCATAGGTTCACTTGGTTGCAAGGGTTTACTAGGCATGCGCAAAGGTGGATTGGGTTTTTTTCAAAATAAATTAGAGAGAGCCTTTTCAGCTTTACGTTCTCTGATTCTTCTATCTATACTGATAGAGAGTTGAATTAATGTATCAAACGTTGGAGGAAGAATGGTTCTAGATAATTCATCTTTAACTGGTTCAGATAATCCTAAACGGAACTGATTACGTAGAGCCATATCATTCCATTGGGTTTCTGAAGCCCATCTTTTAAATTCAGCTATATAATCCTCCACAGGACGATTTCTTTGTTGTAATAATCTAATAGTAAGATCAGCAGTAGCTTGTTTATTAGGGTCCTCATAAAGTAGTGACATTGCTTCAATAAAATTATCCAAATAATCCAAAATAGGATCTTCATTTTCTAGAAATGAATGTGCCCAGGACATATGTTCACCCCTTAAATAGGAAATTATTGAACAGACTTTAATCCTGTCTGAGGGGTAAGCCCTGGGTTTGAGAGTAAACAATAATTTGCATGAATTCAAAAATTCTCTATATCTGGAGCGATCTCCAAATTTTTTTTCAGGATTGCAGACAGCAGGGTCACTTGAAGTATGTGCAACTTTATTTTGCATTTCTCTAATATAAGAAAGAAGTCTCTCATTAGCAATTTGCAAATCCTGCATGCCTTGTGTGAGCATTTCAACCCTGTGGGTTAAAGAGGTAATTTGGGAATTCACATCTGCTGGTTCCATTTTGGGGCTTGGTGATTCTGTTATGTTACTTGGGTGATTTGGATTGGAACTCAACTGCAGCTTGTAAAACTCCCTAATTACAATTGTGAAGAAACAGAGAATCTTTAAAGTATCAATACTGTAGCTTTAAGAAAAGAGGGAATCGCTGGTAACTTGATTCAAACGAAGTTTTAATGATAGTTAAACTTAAATGAATTGCATTTAGGCAATAATCCAATAAGAAGAAGTGCAAGTAATCAACAACATAAAGTTCATTAAGTAACATTCTTTAGGTTAATGAGAATAATCTTCAATAATATCTTTAAGCAAGTAGCTGAGAATATTTGCAAAGCAGGAACAGTTGATAGTGAATAAGCATGATGGGAGTTGTCCTCCATATAATTAGTAGCTTGAAGCAATGAAGATTTGAGTAAGCAAGCATTAGTTCATTATTAAATGATATTGCAGACAAATAGCTGAAAGATATACTTAAGGTTAATCTGAGTAGTCCTCCAATAGTTCAGGGATATGGTCCACTTGTAAAGTAAGTGAGTTTTCGTTCTCCAGTAATCCTCTATGACATGAAGCATACTTGTCTTAGTCCAGAAGGCTAGGACGATTTCAGAGTTTATAGAGCCGGCGTGTCCCAGGAGCCGGCGTGCATCTTCGGAAGTAGGACCCACATTGCCAGAGCCTGTGGAGAGGTCAGTCTGGTGGAAGTAGCTCCCAGTATCACCAAGCACCCTTTCTCTGGCGCGGTCTCCCTAAATACCGTTAGAGCCGCGTCAGAGGGGGGCTGGGTCCGGCTCCGCACAGCTGAGTGCCGAACCCGGAAGTGTTACCGCATGACAGTACCTGAGAGATATGAACATAGTGAGTAGTAATGTCTGGGTAATAAACGAGTATGTCATCCAAATAGACTAGAACACAAGAATGGATATACTCCCTTAAGACATCGTTTATCAGGTGTTGGAAAAACGCAGGAGCGTTACACAACCCAAAAGGCACTACAAGATATTCGTAATGTCCACTCCTTGTGTTAAACACAGTTTTCCATTCATGATTTTCCTTTATCCTGACTAGATTGTACGCACTCCTAAGGTCTAATTTGGTAAACACAGTGGCCCCCTTAAGTCTATCATATAATTCCGTGATAAGGGGAATCGGATAGACGTTCCTTATAGTAATCTTGTTAAGACCTCTATAATCAATGCACGGTCGTAGATCTCCCTCTTTGAGAGGAAGAACTACGTATGAAACCCTTGGCAGGAGAGCCCTGGATATATTCTTCTATGATTTCACTCTCATGGGGGGACAGAGAATTCACCTGGCCTCTAGGTGGCATAGTACCTGGCAGGAGGTCTATGGCACAGTCATAATGTCGGTGTGGGGGTAACGTCTCAGCATTGATTTTATTAAAGACTTCCTTAACCTAGATGTATTGCGGAGGAACTACTGTGGATAAAGGATCAGCCGTAGGTACGTTGATACGACCTACAGGTTTGACGGAGAGAAGACATCGATCCTTGCAGGTAGCTCTCCAAGTACGAATCTCACCCTTAACCCAATCTAAGACCGGATAATGCCGCACCAACCAGGGAAACCCAAGAATTATAGGACATGAAGGGGTTGAAATAACCTGGAGAGCTATATTCTCTCTATGTAATATTCCTACAGAGAAGGATTGCGGAAGGGTCTCATGGGTTATAAGGGGGGGGGGGGCAGGAGGGGTCTCATTAACGCCTTGGCTGCCTTCTTAACTTTCCCAAGAGGTTCAAAAGATCTCTTGAATTCAATAATGAATTCTTTGTAGTTGTAAGCTACAGTCCTACCACTTTCCCATAAGGGATTGGCCCATGCTAGAGCTTTACAGGATAATTGGTTCATTAAATATCTGATCTTCGCTGTGTCAGAAGGGAAAAAACCAGGGGATGCCTCAAAGTAGTATTCTATCTGGTTTATAAAACCCCTACACTCCTGGGAATCACCACTGAATCTAGGTGGAGGGGACAGGCTTATAGTCGGAGCCTTTTGACCACTGGACACTGCCACAGCGGCATTTTGTGGAGCCTGGGTAGGGAGTGTCTCCGATTGGAGGTGTGCATTGCGAGCTAGCAAAGTCTGAAAAGCTCCATGTGGTGATCATGTTCTTCCAGCTTATCCTCGCAAGATATCACCTGTCTACTTAAGTCTGCAGGGTCCATGGCCCAGTCGTAATGTCAGGATAAACGGATGCCCAACAGGCAGAACTTAAGTAAAAAATAAAGAAAACCCTAAGACGTATTACCGGGCCTTAGAATGGCCGGATTTAACGTATAAAAGGAAAAACCGCAAGACAGGCTGTGGACAAGAACACAGAAATCATGGAAACTTTAAGCAAGCCAAAGGTTGAGGAATATAGAAGTCAAGAGCCAAGCCAAAGGTCAAGGAATACAGAGATCGGATAGTCAGTAGGAAAGCCAAGGTCAAAATACACAAGAATCAATAGAACAGAAACGCGCTCTCGGATAACCAGAATGGAAACTACGACAGGGCACAGAAAAATGGACAAAAAAGGTTTAAATAGCCTAAGGTGCTCCCTGATTGGCTGCAGGGAAGCATGTGATAGTAACCGTGTGTGTGTGACATTACCCACACGTTCCAAATGGTATGGCACTATAAGGGTTAATAACAAAACCCTTAAAAGGTGCTAACTTGCAGCGGCCGGGGTCTCTAATGATTACAGACCCAGCCGCTGTGTGAGGGGGAGGAGTTCCTGTCAGAGACCGGAGGCATCTCAGGAGGAGGTAAGTGATAGGCGGAATTCCCATTGCCAAGTGGAAATGCCGCAAAACAACGAGATGTTCCCACCGGGTTCCAGTCCGCTTCCCGTGCATGAGTGGACCTGGAGGGTGCCTGCAGAATTCAGCCACAACAATGCGGCGTGAAAGTGGTAGCGTCCCGAAATTAACCAATCGTATCTCCACACAAGGCTACTATGGGAACAACCCTGACGGCAAATCGAAGGGAACCGCGATACTTGTACACAAATCGATTCCATTCTTACAGACCGAGACCGAAACTGACAGTAACGGCCGATACGTATTTGTTAAGGGATCACTGCTGGGACAGAACATCACCCTGGCCAATATCTACGCCTCAAACTCCAAACATGGGAAATTCTTAAAATCCACACTTAAGACACTAATGTCCTTCACGGAAGAATTCCTGATCCTAGGGGGTGACTTCAACATAGCCCTAAAACCAGGGGTAGCCACCTCAACAGGCACGTCAGCGATACTGGAGCAGATCCTCCTGACAATCAGACACACCCTCCATATCCACCGCCTTGTTGACTACTGGAGGGCCATGTACCTGACCGACAGAGATTACACACACTACTCCATACCCCACTCTAGATACTCCTGCCTGGACCCAGGGCTGTCTTTAAGGAGGGGCAAAAGGGGCAGCTGCCCCGGGCTCAGTTACTCCTGGGGGCCCTAAGGCAGCTGCCCCATGGGCCCCCTGCAGCACCTGAGGTAATCAGGGGCCACAGCCCTTTAATACTGCTCTGGACCGGGCCCTTGTAATATGGGGAGGCTGAATACAAACACACAGCTAGCCCCTCACACACTGCCCTGTGATCCCTTTTCTTCTCCGCGGCATGCTGGGAGGCAGTGAGGTCAGATCACTTCCTCCTCAGTGCCACTGGGGAGGAGGCACACACCACACGGAGGAGGATGCAAGCATTGTTGGGGAGAGGGACTGAGAAAGCTGATGGCAGACTCCCATCAGCCTGGGCCAACAAGCTCCCACTGGACCCCAGGGAAGCCACCTTTCTGTACCCAAAATGTAAGGAGACAGGAGGGTGGCTAAATATGTTTTGTTTTTTGTTTTGCTTATTTCTGATATCACTTTTATTCAAGTGTTGGTGTTTGTAATGTAATACACAGGGAATAAGTACATGTTAAAAATCCTAGAAGAACCTGACAGTTCCCTATTAAATATAAATTTTAAAAGTATTTATTTTAACATATTATTGCATCAAGTGTTATCAAAGGCTGTATACCATTTCCAAATGTCACTTTTGCCAAATTCTGGACCAGGGTATGTAAGAACAGAGTTGAGACATTATATTGGCCAAGGTTGCTGGGAGTTGCTGTCCAAGAGCTGCTAGAAGGCAGAGATTAAAATATGTAAATGTACACATATATGTGTGTGTGTGTATCTGGCTGTGTTTATGTCCTTGTGTGTATCTGTGTATCTGGCTGTGTTTGTGTCAGTGTTTGTATCTGGCTGTGTTTGTCTGTGTGTCAGTGTTTCTGTGTGTATGTATACCTGTGTATGTGTACTTGTGTGTCAGTGTGTATGTGTACCTGTGTGTGTGTTTGTGTGTGTGTGTGTGTGTCTATGTATGTGTCAGTGTGTGTAAGTGTGCATCTGAGTGTGTGGTAATGCATACATCCCAGCATTTTAATGCCAACACAAATACACTCCATCTCTAGCACTGTACACATATACACCCCTGCATTTATACCTTTATGTATGTGTGTATCTGAGTGTGTGTGTACATACCTGTGTCAGTGTGTGTGTGTACCTCTGTGTGTGGATGTGCCAGTGTGTGTGTGTATCAAAGTGCTTGTATCTGTGTGTCAAAGGGTGTGTATCTGAGTGTGTGTGTGTATGTGCCAGTATGTGTCAAGGTGTGAGCATGTGTCAGTGTGCCTATGTGTGTATCTGCGTGTTAATGTGTATGTGTATATGTGTTATAGAAATCACACAACATGCAAACAGAGCCCTGCAAACACAAACATTACATACAAACACACCAGTTTGCTGAAACACCAATACTACACACAAATGTACACAACACTACATCCAAACAACCCCCTGCATGCAAATACAAACATTCCTGTATTAAAACGCTAAAATTATATACAAACACCAACTCTACACACAAAAGTACACCTGCATTTAAAAGCCAACACTACAGACAATCACACATTACTGCATTCAAACGCAAACACTACACACAAGTACACCACTGCATTCCAATGGTAACAGTACATACAAATACACCTCCTACATGCACACATACACTCTATACAATAACATGCTGACATTCAATTGCACAAACACTGCTCAAAAATACAACCCTGCAAGGATGGTAGATCCCCACCTGGCATAGCATCGCAGGAGTTGTATGACAGATGGGGATCTATCTTTTCTTTACTCTTGTGCTACAGGGCAGGCCTGAATTATTATTTTTTTGCACCAAGGCACTCTCTACATTAGTTTCGCCTCTAGGTTGGGGTGGAGGGAGTGATTGCATGCCCAGGGGGCCCAAGCAGATGCTTGCCCAGGGTCCAATCAATATTAAAGACGGCCCTGCCTGGACTACCTTTTCGTATCGTATTACCACCTCTCCCGGATCTGCCAAGTAACCATAGGTTCCATGATGTGGATGGACCAAGCACTGTTGACAATGAATGTGACCTCCCCTCTCTTTTGACCCCGCACCGCTCACTGGCGCCTAAATGAAACTCTCTTCTCAGACACGACCTTGGTCGAAGACGCACACACGATGATGACACACTACTTTACAAAAAACACGATGGCTGACACACGTGAACCAACCATCTAGGAAGCCCATAAATGCACGATACAGGGATTCTGCTTAGCCAGTGGAACCACAATCAGAGACCTCACAGACAAAATCCAGGAATTATAAACCCGACATAAATCAGCTCACACTCTGGACACATATCAAGAACTGGCTGACATGAGGGGGCAACTCTCCTCTCTCCTCTGACATCGTCTCCAACGCTCTCTCCAGCACACCAAAGCATTCTTTTACATAAACAGCAATAAGTGCGGCAAACTCCTTGCCACAATCACCAGCTTACGTGACACCCAGGGCCAGCCGCAGAGAGTGCTGAAACGCATTGCCGAAGTAGCATGTGACTACTTAAAAAAACTGTACTCAGAGAAATCGCCCGCAGACTCCGCACGGAACACTAAATCCATACTGTGGCAGAAATGCCTCTGCCACGTATTCCTGGAGGGGCCTGCTGGCTAGCACCTGCCCAAAGACTATGGGACCTGCAAAAAAACTGTTAAAAGACTGTGTTCGTGACATTTTCCTATGCTGTTTGGGAACCGAACAGGCGCACAAACCATTGACCACACGGGAGCTTGTTAAGCCCTATCATCACCTCTTAACAATTCTAACCACAGTGTTCTAATTGTTAGTTTGGGTGGCCGCAATTCGTATGAACGACCACGAGGTGGCGGCCATCTTGTTCGCCTGAATGCAGGCAGCGGTGTTTGGTCATCGAGTTCATGGATCTCAAATTGGACATGGAAACTCCCGAACACCACTGGACTTCCATCATCACCTACATTCGAATTCTACACCACATAAAAGGGCACTGTTCGGTGGAATCGTTCGTCTGGATGACTATTGACTATGTTCGGTAGTTTTTTTTTTGTTTTTTATAAATTCTTTATTTTTCAATTTTAGGTGAGGTAAAGGGTACAGAATAAAGGTAGGGGTAGGGTAGCAGTGATATTCAATAATTGTCAGTTTCGTTTCATTTCAATGGTATCAGTACGATTTATTGCGAAACCTCATGTCCATCTTCTGGGTTGAGTGGTTCAGTTTTTGTATGTCACATGTGAAGTTTGTCACTTGGTCTTGGATCTTGTCGTCTTTGCCTCTGAGAGCGTGTCTGGCTCTTCCTGTGTTGTGTTTGTCACGTTTGTGTCTCTTTCGGTTTTATTTGGGTCTGGGGTTTGGTCTTGTGTGTCTGTTTTGTGTGCGGGTGTGGTCATCGCGAGAGTTTGGTGGTCTCGACCCATGGGTGGTCGTCTCGTTTAGGCTGTAGATTTGGAGGGTTTCCAGTGTGGTGAGATCCGAGTCTAAGTCTAGTGCCTGAGGTTGTTCTCTTATATTTGTATCTGCTGCTGGTGATCATGTTGTACGGGTCGTGGTATTTTGTTTTTGTGTTGGGTGAGTTCCCTAGTCTTGTGATTGTGCTTTTATTTGTGAGGTTGGTGTAGGGAGGGGGGGGTCTGTGTAGGGTTTGGGAGGTTGGGGGGGACCTATGTGGGGTCCTAGTGTGCTATCAGTAGGGGGTCTTTTTTTATTTTTTTTGGCGGGGGGGAGGGGGAGGAATCGCGTCTTGTTCCCAGGTCCTCCTTTTATGGTGCCAGTAGGTGGTGTTGGGTCCATGGGTCCCATATCTTGTGGAAGTTTTGTGTTGTATCGTGTAGTAGGGCTGATAGTTTGTCCATTTCCATTGTGTCTTGTGTTTTGTTGATCATAGTGGTTAGTTGGGGTGTATTCTGATTGCCCCATTGTTCTGCTATCGTCCGTCTGGTGGCCAGCGCTAGTCTTGCCACCAGTTTATTCTGCGCTCTGGTAAGGGGGGGTGGGGTTTAGAAAGCAGCCATATCCAGGGGTGGATGTATGTGCCCTTCTGTGTGCAGCCTTTCCAGCATGTATCTGTGGTGGCGAGGCCCATTTGTTTCAGTCTGAATGGCGTGAGGTACCATCTGAGTAGGGTTTTATAGGCTTGCTCTTTATGGTTAACGCAAATGGTAAGCGAAGCAGTGGCTTCCCATATGTCTGCCCAGTCTGTGGGGTTTGCAGGGGGGCCTATATCTCTTTCCCAAGCCTTGGTGTAGAAGAGAGCGTCCTCTGGGGAGTTTGAGTTTAGGAATGAGTATATTTTTGTGATTTGTCCTTTCTGTATGGGTGCGTGAAGCACGTTTTTTCGAATTGCGTTGGTTTGGTAGTGGCGGCTGCCCTATTTTGTGGTTCATTGAGAAAGCTGCGAATCTGTATGTAGCGGAAGTGGTCGAATGTGGTCAGGGGTGTTTGTTTGGGGAGGGGCAGAGTTGTTGGCCTTGGAAAAAGTGGAGGAATCGGAACAGTCCGTTGTCCTCAAATCGTGAGAAGTCTTTGGGAGTTAGGCCTGGGGGAAATTGCTTGTTTCTTAGAATAGGTGTGAGGGGCGATGGTGTGTTCATTATGGGAAGTTTTGATGTGATGTCATCCCATATGAGAAACGATGTGGTTAGTGTAGGGGTAGTTTGTGAGGTGGGCGGTCTATCTTTCTTGGGTATCCAAAAAAGTAGTGATGGGTGGTCTCGTCCCAGGAGGTCGTGCTCTAGGTCTACCCAGATCTTGAGTCCTGGTGGTGCATGTAGCTGTTGTATTTGGGCCAGTTGGGCCGCTTGGTAGTAGTGGTAGAAGTTCGGGAGACCCAGGCCTCCTGTTTTTGTGGTTTTGAACATTGTGGATCTTTTTATGCGTGGTCTCCTGTTTGACCATATAAATCTGTCTATGTGTGTTTGGAGCGTTTTGAAGTCATGTTTGGAAATAGGTATTGGTAGTGTTTGGAAGAGATAGAGG